ATATGAGACCTCAAAGCCCACCTCCACAGTGACACACTTCCTCCAACAAAGCCACACCTCCTAATATGCCACTCCCTTTGGAGGCCATTTCCTTTCAAATTTCCACAGGCTGTTACTTTCATTCTGACACCTGTGTTGCTCTGTGGAGGGAGGGAGATCATGAGGGAAAACCTGGAGTTGCTGTGCTGTGGGGGGGTGCATAGGGGCAGGCCCAGGTGTTCCAGATTTATCCACTGATCCTAGGAGAATGCAGACTAGCAGCCCCTGGGGTTCTCACTCCTCATAAAGTCTCTCTGCTTGTAAGGACTATGTAGAACATGTTATTATTATCTGCGTGCTCAAAAGCCTTCCCAGCCTTCAGCCCTGTGGACCATTACCCAGTTTCTAGAATTAGCCTGTGATTGCATTTTTCTTTGGCAGTACTTGCTGCTCCCCTAAAGACATGGCTGGCAAGATCAATCTAGCCCTCAGCTAGCCAGGGCCTTCTTGAGTGGGTAGTTTGGAGGAAAGGCCTGACATTTGGAGGGGCCATTAGCCAGCTCCCATCTTACATGTTGCAAATGTGATGCTCTCTGACAGGGTATGCCCTGGACAGGAGAAGCCTGTTCCTGTGGACTCTCTTTTGTAGATCCATTCATTTGTTTTCTTTATTGGGAATTGAACAGAAGACCTCTGTATGCTAGGCCAGCATTACACTTCCAAACTATATCCCCAGATTCTTTTGCTTTTTGAGGCAGGGTCTTCCTAAATTGTGCTAGTAGGCCTTGAATTCACTGCATTGAAATGCCACCACTATCTTGTGGCTGAGATTATGGGCCTATGCCTCTAAGCCAAGACTGTAGCTTCACATTCTAATCCACAGATGAAGGGAGTTATTCAGGCCTAGGTGCACTGGGAGGGATGCAAGAGGCCCTTGTTCATGGACTCCTGGCCAGGCTGCCCCATCAGCTAGCCTGGCTGTGTTCACACATAAGTCAACCCTTGGCTAGATCAGAAATGGGGCTCAGAGGAGGCTCCTGTAGATGACTTGGTGTAGGCCCTGGGCTAGTTCACGGGGTTTTCTTAAGCTCCCTCAACTTGTATTGGCTCTGTGCCAAGACTCTGAGTCATTTTCTGAATCCTCAGCTGTGACATCACAGAAGATGCTTTTTGCACAAACCTGTGACCTTTGGCATCATTTAATCATTAAATTAACTATTTACAGTGGTTAAGACAGCACTCATCAGTGGTTCATTTTTGATTCTCATCCACCCTTCATGCCATAGTCCTTCCTTGGTGTGTCTTTGGTCTTTATTTACCCCAACAGTCATGTTCTCACACACACATGTGTTTTAAAAGCACATGAGGATGAAATCTGACACTTAACAACAGTGACATCTCCCTCATGAGGGCAGGAATAAGATCCCAATAAGGACAAGAAGAGGAATGAATCAAGAAGAGGTAGTCTCTCCTTTTAGCCCATTGGTCCAACCCTGCATGCCATTTCTTCATCATGTGCTGAAGGAGAACCCCAGAGTCAGAAAACACACGAGTCAAGAGTTTTAGTCACCTTTCTACTCCCGTGATAAACACCGTGAACAAAGGCATCTTGGGGAGGAAAGGGTTTATTCTATTTTATGGATTATATTTCATTATGCAGGGAAGTCAGGGCAGGAGCTCAAGACAGGAAACTGGAGGCAGAAATCAAAGCACGGGCTTGAGAGGAATGCTGCTGACTGCCTTGTCCTTCATTGCTAGCTCAGCCTTCCTTTCATGCAAACCACCTTCCCAGAGATGGCCCAGCCCACAGTGGTCTGAGCCCTCCCACATCTATCGTTAATCAGGAAAATGTCCCCAGACTTGCCTACAGGCCAATCGGATGGAGGCATCTTCTCGGCTCAGGTTCCTCTTACCAGATGCCTTGCATCAGTTTGACAAAACACTAACCAGCAAAGCACGTTACACTGGATGTGGTGCTGTCATTCCAAGAATGTGCTGGAACATCTCCCTTGTTTTTGTTCTACTGCTCTGACTGGGTACTGATGCTAGTTTTCTTGGATCCCTGGGTGCTGTCTCAGAATTCACTGTACACTGAGCATCCACAAACTTCCTCCTTCAGTCTCTGTGAGTGCCTCCAGAAAGCAGACCTCTGGCATATGGAGTCATGGATATAAGACTTTCTCTTCTGGTTGTTCTAAAAGTGCAAAGCAGGGGGAACCAGTACCTGTTGCTCTAGTGGTATTCAGAGACGTACAGAGTATCAGAAAGCATTCATATTCTGCTGCACAGCACAATATGTAAGCTTCAATATGTAAAGTCATGAATGGGAAGAACATTCTAAGACTTTTATAATTTGCAAAATGTGGGAATTAAAATGTATGCTTCTAAATAGTGCACGAATTAAAAGGTAAACTCAAGGAAAATGAAGAATTAGAACTGAATGACTGTGAGCCAGATAAATCATTGGTAACAGGGAAATAAGTGGTGGTTAATGTCTGCCTTAGAAAGAAAAAAATTAAAGTGTTCATGCAGTGAAGTTAGAAAAATACAACATGATAAACCAGGAAGCAGAAGAAAGAAAATAGGAGTAGAAGCAACAAATTTAAAGTTAAAAGATTGAATCAATAAAAAAAATGGTTTTAAGACAACAGTAAAATGCATAATCTGTTCATAATGGTGGACCGGTAAAGGAGGACACCATTTAAAAATGCTGTCTGTCATGGAAAGAAGCCGTAACTACAGACCCTACATAACTGCCAGTTATGGAAAGAAGCCATTGCTATAGACCCTATGTAACTGCCAGTCGTGGAAAGAAGCCATAGCTACAGACCCTATGTAACTGCCAGTCATGGAAAGAAGCCACAGCTACAGACCCTATGTAACTGCCAGTCATGGAAAGAAGCCATAGCTACAGACCCTATGTAACTGCCAGTCATGGAAAGAAGCCATTGCTATAGACCCTATGTAACTGCCAGTCATAGAAAGAAGCCAGGTAATTTCAGATACTGTGCTTAACTTACTTGGTGTAAGACATTGTTTGTGCAAGACCTCCCCAGTGCCCGCTTTCTTACGTTCTCTTTCTCATCCCTTGGTCCACTCTCTATCAGGAACCTGTCACTGAAGAACAGTCTCATGGACCAGACAACCACCATGCCTTTTCCTGAAATCTTGGACCAAAATGACCCCCTTCCTGCCTTCAGTTGCTTCTTGTCAGACATATGGTCACATCTCTGTGGAAAGGAATTAAATCTCCAGGTACAGAAAGCGAGGGAAATCTACTTTGGGTTGCACCCAGCTGTGACTGGAGTGTTTCTCGCTGTGATCTTCCAAAGGGTAACTGTGAGGGGTTATCAGCACCTGCCCATGGAGGTGCTGTCTGGGCAGCAGTTTTTGTGCTTACATTGCTGCAAAGGTGTTGGACGGCTGGAAAGTGGTTGGATTTCAACACTGGAACTGGAAGAAGCTGGAAGTTATTGATCTCTAGAAATGGACATTGCTGACCTCTTTTGACCTCAACACAGTAAGTTTGTTTCCTAGTTTGGTGATTTTGGCTCATGAGTTTCATATTCAGGTTTTGTGAGAGCCAAAGATATGCTTTAAATTTTAAATAATGTGCCTAAGAGATCCATGGAACAAAAATAGCCTCTAACCTGTAGGATGCTTGCCCAAGGACAGATCCGCCCTGAGATGCTGGAGGTTGTTGTTCATATATGGTAACAAGTACATTTGCACTTCCCTAAAAGAAAATTGGTGCCCCAAATGCACCAGATGTGCTTGATCCCAGGGAGCCAGGAAGAACATTAGGATGTATTCTTGCCCCCAACCAGACAAAGGTGGAAAGTATGTAACCTGTGGGTTAGCTTTTATAATCACCTGGCCAAGAGTGACTGGTGACCACTTTCCGGGAACCCCAGAATGGACTTGCCAGTGTCCATCATCCTGGCCAGTATTTAATTAAAGCTTGCTTCAAATTTGAATCAAAATTATGGTAGTGGTCTTATTCTCACCCAGAGGGGTTAACTTATAAATTTTTATTTAACTAATTCTTGTTTGGGGTTTGATTTGTGCTCATTTTCATTTTTATCCATTAATATTTCCCATTTATCTTTTAAAAAATATTTCTTACTTTGGTTTCCTTTTCCTCTTCAAAAATGTAGTTGCTACTCAATGTACAGAATAAGGAAATTCACTGTAACATTTCCACACATGCAGATACTGCATGCGGGTCGTTCCCATCTGCTCTGATTAGGTCTCTCTCACGTGACTAATGCCCCCACTTCCCCATGCTTTTATGTTTATCCCATCAACTTTTCTGTGCTTCTGGGGAACTGGCTTGTTACACATAACATCAACTCCAGTTCCACGTATTTTTCTGAAAATGACAAAATTTCATTGTTTTTATGGCTAACTATGAGACTCTAGCTGTGATTCTGCAAAGATGCTATGTTGTCTATCAGTATGTGGATGTGGAGTTACCCTAGAACTCCTTGGCGAACCCACTTTAACCCTGAATGTTCCCAAGTAAATTTGGGGTTTTAGTTGTATCTGTGAAAATGTCACCTCCTTCTAGCTCTGATTTTACTAATTTGTGTCTTACAGTCTTGGTTATTTTGGATAAGGTTTATTAATTTTGCTCATCCTTTTCAATAGCCAGCTCTTTGTTTCTTTGATCCTCTCATGTTGTCATTTCCACCTCTGACCTTTGTTGGCTTTTGTCATCCCTTGTTGGGGGGGTTTCTTGTCTCTCTTCAAGTTATCATTAAGTTTTTAGTATTTTTTGATGTTGGAATTTATAGCTATAAACTTCTCTCTTAGACATGTTTTCAATTTTTTAAAAAATTTATTGGGGGAATTTAATACATGCAAACATTGTTTTCCTGTCATATTTACTCTCCTACCCCCTCCATTTCCTCCTGGATCCACCACACAAGTCCTCCTGCCAACTTCCTGTCCAGCAAGTGGTGCTCTTATATGAGTGTAAGGCCACCTACCATGGCCCACATCCCTAAAGAAAATCGACTCTGCCTCCCCAACCAGTCATCAGCTGTCAGCAGGGGCTGAGGGCTGCTTGCTCCTCCCCTCCCCATGCTGAAATGCTGATTGGCTTGATCTTGTTGGGACTTTGCAGGCAACCAGAGCTGCTGGAGTACAGTGATTCTTGTCATGTTCCGGAGACACCCCGTTCTCCCTGACCTCTGGCTCTTACAATCTTCCCGCCTCCTCTTCCGCAATGTTCCCTGAGCCGTGGTGGGAGTGGGTGTGATACAGATGTCTTGTTCGTAGCCACTCCACTGACACTTGTTCTGAGGACGGAGAGCTGACCTGGGTAGAGAAAGGGCTTTAGAAGGCCATCTGATATTCTATCCATTTAGCATAATCGTAATGGTGGGGGTGGGGAGCTAGCTAGAGGAGGTTTAAGCAGAAAGAGGAGGAAGGATAAGGGAGGTTTGGAGGGAAGATAACACTAAGGATATTGAAAGAGCCATATAGCTTCCTAAATTACACACACACACACACACACACACACACACACCAGTTTAAATGAACTTACTCCACATGGAGAATAATGCTTCTTTCAGAAGCCAGAAGTTGCCAAATAAAAAGATCACCCAGTGCCCGGTTTTGGATACCTCCCCTAAAATTGTCAGTCAAGGGGTCCCAAAGATGTCCCCAAACAATATAGGTTATTACTATGGTTCTTGGTTGCCCAAAACCTTGATAGTAAGACCCTCACTGCTGAAGACACCACACACTTGGCCACAGAATCTGAAGAAGTCGAGCTGGTACTGAACTGGAAGCTCCCTCCCGGACGGCTGGCTTTCACAGTGTTGAGAGCTGCAAAGGGGCTGCTGAGAGTGTCATCGTCGGCCTCCGCTGCCAACGCGACACAAACCTGAGTCACCTGGGAAAGGCCTCAAACAGATTGGCCTCTGGTCATTTCTCAATTGTTCAATGGTGTCGATGGTATCCATCCCACCATGTGCGCTATCTGAAGGCTACCAGGTAGGCCTGCGCTAGATAAGAAAGGCAACTCATCTTGAGCTTGGGGGCAAGTCAGTAGGCAGTATTTCTCCATGGTCTCTGCTTCAGTTTCTGCCCTAAGTTCCTGCCTTAGCGTCCCCTGATAATGGACGATTGCCACGGACCGTCCCTCTGTGAGACTGCTATCCACGGGAGGACAGGGTTGAAGGATAGGATAGCCAGGATACGACGCAAGGGAATGACAGACAGACACACTGGTAGTGAAAATCTGCTGCAATTTTACTTCTGCAAAGCTTCAGTTTTTGTACAAAACAGATCAAAGAACTTGGCAGGCTCACTGCATCACCCCACTCAGGGTTCCAGACATAAATCAAGGCAAAGCATAATCAAAATAGAGCTCCTCTCTACGTGCTCCTCTCTACGTGCTCAAGATGTTGGCAAGGACTTTTAGTTTTGTTTTGTCTCTTAGAATTCTGTCTCACACCATTATTTACATTCTACCGTGGGAGACTAGTTCTCAGGGTCCTGTGTTTAGCTTCCCATTTATATAGTTTTTTATTCTTTGCTCCATATTCCCTAATAGTTTTCTCATGATAGTTCCTATACCAATATATTAAAGCTAGTCTCATGTTTTCAATAATTTCCTTTCTTTCCTTCTTACTATAAAGACATCAGGGCTTCTGGGATCTAGCTAATCTTTCCATAAAGGGGAATTTTCTCTAACTCTCCTTTTCTCTATAAATCTGATTCACTATGATGATTCCCTCATAACATATCAACTTTAGCCGTTTCTGTTTCATAATTAATAAAGTTTCCCAGGCTCATGTGGCGTGGGGCATACTTCAGTTCCTCAAGGACTGCTTTAATGAACGGTGGAGCCGAGCCAAGGACGTACTTTAATCTCTTGGTAAGCGGTCAGCTGTAAACAGGAAAATTAAGAAATACAGAGAAAGATCAGGCAAGGTGTAAGGAGGGCTCGCTCTCAAGGCCATCTCCAGATAAGAGATATGCCTAAGGCATCAGGTCCTATCTAGACCACTGATTGCCAGGGGACCACCAGGGGCTTCGCTCCAAGAAGCTCTAACCCCAATCCTTCAGCAGGCAAAGACCAGCGCAGAGGCATTTTGTCACTACACGGCAGTCACTGCTGTGGACGTGGCAGACGATGAGATGAAATAGGGAAGTTGCTTTTCATCTGTGTTTTATCACAGCAAGAGAAGCAAACCAGAATGGAAAGAAAGTCACAAAAAGTTCTGCCCAGCTATAAACCCCAGGAGTTATCATAGTGACCAAGTTGACAATATAGGGCAATGGGTGTGGTAGTGGCATAGATATTAGGAAGATAAGCAACCACTTTATTAGATTCAAAGCCTGTTACACAGGAATAAATTCATACTTGATACTGTATATCTGGTTAAGAACGTGAGGCTAGGGAGCTTGTAAGTCTAGAGGTGAATCTACTTACTATTAATCTTTTTAAATGTAGCACTGTGGGTGGTGCCGCTTCCCAGAAATTAAGGTGGGAGCAATGGAGCAGGACCTAATGTCTAGCCCCTCTAATAAAGACATCATCACAGTATATTAGTAACCCTAGGCTAAGGAACATTCGCAGAGATGCAGCTGGCCATGCCATGCCTGCATAGAACATTCAAGTAGTTTTGAAGATCTGAGCTCACCAAGAACAAAAACAGTGCCTCCAACATCACTGAGGCAGACCATATAAAAACACTACACCTCCCAAACATCATCAAACTTTTCCACAGAATTGATATATCATCAAACATTATTTGTCATCATGAGACATGTGGCAGGAAGAGCTCTAGTGAGCCTGACAGAGGCCTTGGGCTGTACACATGAAGAAGAGACAGTTCCCATTTTCTGTGGTGGCAATTCACTATCCATTCCTAGCAAAACAGCACGCAAAAACATTCATCTGAAGAACGTTCTTGTAGCTGAGGAGGGGCCAAACTCTGTGATTTCAGACTGGCCACAAAAGTCATGTCTGGGAAGAGGCTGAGCAGGCTTGTGGTGCCCTTTGCTATAGAACCTTAGAGGTATTAGTGGGCAGATACTATGACAGACTTGCCAATCACATGTAGAGCCTTGGTATAGTGCAATGCTTAAGGGATAGCCCTGGAGCCCACAGACTTCGGGAGCCTGATATAGAAGAAATTGTTCTGTCTTATAGAATGGGCTCCTGGACTGAGTTCCAGAGCCCCAGGAAATCACACATTAGTGTCTTCATTGAGAAGGCCAGGGGATGGCTCTCTGGGCCATCACTACCATGACTTGTCACTGCGGGCATCCATGTCAAGGAACCCCTGGCTACATGGTACAAGATGTGGATAAGCATCTACAAAAGAAGAAGGACATTCCAGGCACATGGACAAGCTGGCCTCCAAACCCTGCATTCCTCAGGCTACGGCCTACAGCCCCTGCAGAGAACAGCCAAGTTTGTTTCTGGTGTTGAGAAACTAAAGGGGCAGGTACAGCTCTTAGCTCGTTCCTTTGTGTCCCCTGGGTAGACACCAGAAGGACTTGCCTCAGTCTTCAACTCGGTCTGTGTGGCCCTGGCACCTCCTGACAATAGACTCTGGCAGCATCTAACCTTAAACAGCTCAGTAGCAGCAGTGCTTGTAGCACGACTCTCTTCCGTCCTGCACGCGACCTCTCCACACTTGTGCAACAGATGTGTGTGAAGACACTAAAGACATGCTTCCACACAGACCCAGCCTGTGGCCACACCAGCAACTGTGGCTAAAAGGCCTGACTCAGTAGTCACACAGTAATCTGACCAAATGTGTTCTGTCCTTCAGCATCTGTGAGTCTGTCTAGCTCCCCCTCTCTATGAAGTGGCCATCTACTGGGTCTTTTCCGTTTTACCTCTTCAAAGCAGAAACACATGGAAAAGTCACTGAGTAGTTCAACTGATTTGTAGCTCTCTTCCCGACTCCTCCTTCAGAACCTGTGGTCCTTTGTCAGCCCCTCCTCCTCCCTCTACAGCCTCTGGTTGCGTCCTCTGCTGTCTGCGTCTGGCTCAACTTTCTCAGGTTCCTACATATGAGTGATGCTGCGGGATTGGTCCTTCTAAGGTGGCAGATAACAAGTTGCATTCCCCATAACAAGTTAGGATGCTTTATTTGCAAAGGGCGTTCAAGAAGCAAAGATAAAATACAGAAGTGCATCCATCTTGGCAGCTATGCCTACCAGGTTTCCTGTGGTGCCCCACTGCCCTCTCCCTTCATTGTAGCCTCTTAACTTTGGGATTCCTGACTCCTGCTTGGGGTTGACAGGCGGCAGTGTTGTGTTCTCGGTCCTTCACAGTTTGACTCCTCACCTGATTTTAGCTTCTAGATCCTGCATTTGTTGATCTTGAAAGCTGAAGTGTGACACGGGTCTGACTCCTGGTGATATCCTAGGACGCTATGCCTATGGTGTTCACATTTGTCTCTGTGGTTGTCACCATGACATGACTCTAGGGAGGATGGGTAGCACAGGATGTCATGCTGACTTCACTGGTGCCGAAAATACGAATGCCTCAGTTGGCACCCACAGCACCATCCTGTGAGAATGGTATGCAAGGGCGACAGGCAGCAGAGCATGGGTGCCCCGCGAGCTGGTCTACAGTCGTCTGGTATCCGGGATTGACACTGAGTAGGTACACAGTAATGTTTCCGTTTTTTTTTTTTTTTTTTTTTTTTTTTGAGTGGCTAAATAGGATATCACTTTGTGGTCATGATCACCTGGAGCATCCCTGAGGGTTGATATCCCTTAAGGAGCTACCACAGTTGGGGAGGCTGACTATTGAACACCACCCCACTTGGTCCCTGTTTAGTTTTCCTTGGGTAAAAAGGTCACCCACCCAGGCCTCTTTTCCCTCGCAAATATCCCAGAAAATCTTCCTGAGCAGATAAAGATAATGTCTCAGCAGAGGCAGGAGAAGGATGTACGGTGCTCACCATCTGAGGAGCATCAACTAGCCCTGCCAACAGTCCCAGGTGACTGTTATCGTGAAATGAGGAACTTGAGATCCTCCAGGTGGGACAGCTCTTTCTTGTTTGCTCTGATGGAGGGAGCCACAGCCAGGTTAGGTTGCACTTGGGATCTGATTCTGAACAAATGTAAAAATCACATTTGTGCTGTTGTTGTAGTTGCTGCTGCTGCTGCTGCTGCTGCTGCTACTACTACTGCTGCTACTACTACTGCTGCTGCTGCTGCTGCTACTGCTGCTGCTGCTGCTGCTGCTGCTGCTGCTACTGCTGCTGCTGCTACTACTGCTGCTGGATACAGCTACAAGAGCCCTGGTAGCTACAAGGGCCCTGGATTAAGCACCAAGGGCTCTCATATTGGTGGCAGCAAAGCCTAAGTTGAGATATAAAGAGAGGAGAAAGGATGACTACTTGCAGTGGGCTGGAAGAACAAGGCGGCATCTGAAAAGCAATGGCCTTCTCAAAGAAAGCAAGGGGACTCCATTCAGGGAACTTCAGACTTATTACGAGATGTATAGGTCTGGAAAGGAGGACACTGCACTGCTGTGCATCCTCAGTGAAGAGGGTCACTGCACTTCTGAGCACGCTCATTGAAGAAGTTCACGGGCACGCCTAAGCATGCTCAGGGAAGAATACATTACATTCTTGAGCTTGCTCAGGTTTAGGTCACAGAGTTCATGCTCAAGCGATGGACAGAAATATCTGTGGGCATGGACAATATGTACTGTAATACTGAAACTGAAAGCAAGAGAAGGGACACGTCAAAGGTGCCTTGATATGCCCTGGAAGGGTCCTGTCTCACCTCATGCCTAACAGTACCACAGTGGACACTGGGGCTCATGCTGCCCTATCTAGGGCACAAAGCTCACAGGGAGCTGTTCGGGCATGAGCAATCATTTCTACTAGATTTCACATTCAAAAGCCACTAATGAGCTGTATTCATATCACTCACTAGAAGTAGGAACAAACTGCAGTTATGATATGCCAGAAAACACTGAATTAATATACACTGACACAGTTAGTGTCCCTTCCAGTTTTCACACCTGGTCTCTTCATTCCTCGAAACACGTCTTCCAGGGATATAAGCATGGCCCCCACCCCCACCCCACCTCTTTTGTAATGGCTTCCCTATGCCTTTGTTCAAAACCTGTGAGAAGAGAGTCTGATGTTAACAGATGGTCCCCAGCCACAGCCGCAAGGCTGCAAGCAAGGTCCTCACAGTCAGCGACAGACCAACGACGCTGCTCAAGTGCCAGGCTTCTTTCCCTGCAAGGACCAATTTCCACACTTGGAGAGGACAGAGGTGTCCAGGTTACCTACTGTCCTCTGTGTTCTCCAGGCTCCCTCCTGGCAGGACACTGTGTCCTTGTTGGCTCTGCCTGACAGACTTCAAGCTTCTCCCTGGCAGCTGGATGTTTGTGAACTAAATTAAAAAAAAAAAACAGTAATTAATAGAAAAGCTATGATAGGTTCATGGCAAATTTAGGGCACATCACACCCAACAAGCTTCTCCTGAAGTAACAGCCCCCAAATGCTGAGGAAACCTTTCACCTTCTTGCAAAAATGTTCTCTGTCCTAATGGATAAAAAATATCAGAGTAGAAATGTGTCTACTTTCGCAGCACCGGGAATCAAAGCTGGACCTCTCCCAGTCTAGAAACATGCTCTCTCACAAACCCACACACCCAGCTGACCCTTTGCCACTGTGAGACTCAGAAATGGAGCAGAGCAGAGAGCCATGATGAGCAGGGAGTGTTCTGTCTCTGAACTGCTTGGGTTGGGAAGGCCTTCTAAGCCTCCAAAGCCTCTCATGGCCTGGCCCCTGAGGCTAGACATGAGGTGGAAGGAACCATTCTGAGTACCGAAGCAGAGAACTGAGTCATACATCAGCCTCAGGACAAAGACTACAATGCATGAAGCAGTATGAGATGATTCAGTTTCTGCCAGACTAGCTCATGGAAGCCCTGAAGGACACTGGCTATCACAGGCTGATGTCCCCATAACTATCAGAAACTGGAAGAAGACAAAGAAGGGACAGGCATACTGACAGAATGAGGGATAAGAAAGACTGTTCCATGCCCAGTCACCAGGCCAGAAAAGACTGTGTTTACCGGAGGGTGGAAAGAGGTTGATGCGGCGGGGCTCTTGGGACTAGGCTGGGGCTCTGATGGCTTTGCTGAGCCCTGTGGTGGAAAGCGGTACTTATGTGGTAAGAGAAGTCCTGAGAAAATGAATGATTCCACTCAGGGAAATGGGGTTTGAGAAGTGCAAAAACAGGGAAGAAGGAAGGAGAGAAGGGCAAGGGCCTGTCCAGGTCATTCAAAGTCAAATGTGGCAAGAACTATGTCAAGTGGTTCCTAAGGAAACCATCCACAGAACGTCAAGTGCTGTGCTAGCAAGCATCTGACTAGCAAGACTGAGCTAAGGATATATATGTGACTTTAGAAATGCAGGTGAAAACGGTGTAACCTTGATCTGGTATATAGGCAATTCTCCTGACTCTCAAGTATATGGTTTAAAGAATGCTAGGGGTGGGCATTGTTCCGGGCAAGAAACAGAATTCCAGATAAGCATCTCACCTGCCCAATAACGGGGTGGCCCAGGCCATATCACCCTACTCTCTAAGAGTCAGACAGGTACAACTTCCAGAGTCAAAGGCAAAGCAGTCAGCCTGTATTCCAGAAACACCACGATGGAGGTCAGTGCTGTTCCAGCTTACCTTTCCGAGTGGGCAGGGGTTGTCTGTCCATGGAGTTACTCCAAACTTTGGTCCCTTGGAGCCAGATCTTCCACTTCACCTGGAAGAAGCGCACATGCATGATTTAGCTTCCCACAGGGGCAAAGACAGCTGTACCAGCAAGTCTGCCAGCCTCCAGAATTCTCAGAGGAAGGACAAGTCGGGGCCATATGAGCAAATGCCAAGTCTCGAACAGTGATTTCTCAACCTGTGGGTTGTGACCCCTTTGGGTCGAACAACCTTTTCACATTTCACAGATGTCGCCTACGACCATCGGAAAACAAAGATATTTGCATTATGATTCATAGCAGTAGAAAAATTAGTTATGGGGTAGCAACAAAATAACTGTAATAAAGAGGTGCAGCATTCGCAAGGTTGAGAACCACTGCGCTAGGAGAAGTGGCAGCAGATATGCAACTCTACCCGAATTTTACAAGTCAGATTTTATGCTCTTATAAAAGTAGTTTTATTTTCTTATTATATATTATATATATTATTGATTTCTATTGAATTCTACATTTTTCTCTGCTCCCCTCTCTGCCTCTCCTCTCCCCTTCAACCCTCTCCCAAGGTCCCCATGCTCCCAATTTACTCAGAAGGTCTTATCTTTTTCTACTTCCCTTGTAGATTAGATCCATGTATGTCTTTCTTAGGGTCCTCATTGTTGTCTAGGTTCTCTGGGATTGTGATTTGTAGGTAGTCTTCTTTGCTTTATGTTTAAAAACTACTTATGAGTGAGTACATATGATAACTGTCTTTCTGGGTCCGGGTTACCTCACTCAAAATGATATTTTCTAGCTCCATACATTTGCCTGAAAATGTCAAGATGCTGTTATTTTTCTCTGCTGTGTAGGACTCCATTGTGTAAACGTACCACATTTTCTACAAATTCATCTCAAAGTCCATCTTCTGCGAAACTCACCCTCTCAGCCAAGACTTCAGGCTCACCTATCTTAAGTCCCCTCACCACCCACATGGTTTACCCATCTCTTCCTAACATGGTCTCTCCGGCCCCTGCCACGCCTGATTTGTTGCTTTATTGCCCTCACTCCACAACTGAGATGATTCCGTGATTTTTAAGAAATGATATGGGGGTCTTTTATTCCCTCCTACAAATGGATGTTAAGGTTTGGTCCCCCGTGTAATATAATGAGAGTCAGCGGGCCTTTAAAAGTGGTGAGGGGTCAGGCAAGACAGCTTCTCAGGTAAAGTGTTGGAGGCAAGTGATAATCATGGAATCCACGTAAATGTGGAAGGAATGAACCAACTCTACAGAATTGTTCTCTCACTTCTGAATGTGTTCTGTGACATGTACACAAGCCAACAACCCTACATACACTCTACTCAGTATAAGGGGTCCTTCCAGGTCTCAGTCTTTAATAGAGACATGTTGGTTCACAGCTATTTAGATAGTTAACCTACCTAATCTAATACCTAGTAGTACTTACTCAACATGAAAGGGGCACGCTGCAGTAGGAATGCGCGATCTGTCGACTTTCGATTGTGACATTCCGACGAGGGTATTCTAGCCCACAACTATCCCACAGCAGAGTCAGCAGCAACTTGACTGCCAAATGATTCTCAGGGAGGTGGACATCAATGAAGACTCAGCACATCTCATTGCCTGTCAAAGAAATATCACAGTACTGTGACTGCTACCACCAATCACACGGACAGCACAGCATGACAGATACATCCTTTACAGCTCTCTCTCCACCACACCCAGGCATTTTGTACATCCCAGGAACTCAGAGGTTGAAGGTACATCTGCATGACTAAGATACAGACAACTCCATCTGCAAACAGAAAAACCCAAAATTAGCGTTGAAGAGAACTGGTTGGTCCCAAAGAATTAGTTGACACAATATGGAGTAATGCAATGGCTTATGGTCAATAGCCTGATGAGCCAACAACAATTCAAGGATACAAACATAATATGACATGTTAACAGCTCCCCACGGTACACAGTACTGGTTCTTTTATTCCCTGTGACTAATAGAAACTGCTGTTCATTGCCCTGCCTAGCGCTGCTGCCGTGAGAGCATCCCCAGGCTCCGGTAATCCAGTTCTGCAATACACTTCCAGCCCAAAGCTAGTTGGCAATGTAACCCGTATTCTACATCTCCAAATGGCTACTTTAGGCAGGTGTTCTTTGACAATATAACTCTCACAAAGGACAGCTTACTCAACCTCTTTTAGTTGATTCCACAGCATCTGCCATGGTGACTGGAAGGGAATTTCTTCCCACATGTGTGCCTCATCAGTGACATCCAGAGTATAATCAGGAAAAAAAAAATTTACACTGCTAATCTGAATATAAAAACAGTTGTTTTCAGTAAAGGGATGCTCACTGCTGAAAGGGGAACGCGAGCTGAGACAACCTAGGGAGCAGCTGCAGAAATGGATGAGGGAAAGTGACTAAAGCAGACACCCAAGCAGAACCGGCAAACTGCAGGCACCGTGGCCAACGCCCGGGGGAGCCACAGAGAAGCCGGGGTCATCTTTCAGAAGAGTCGAAGACTGCTAGACTAAGGCACCACTGTCAACACTTTCTGGTTGTCTTGCAGAAGTTCATTTTTCTAGAAGTTTTCTTCTTTGCTGCTCACCTGGTAATAATGTGGAAACGCAAACAACTCTGCCCTCACAGAGAGGTCAGAGGTAGGATTTAGAACGAGAGCCAAGGGAGGAGAATTAAAGTCAGGATGTTGAAGTTTACCTTAATAAGAAACGAAGGGGTGGTGGATATGAACTTAGTATGGTTCAAGCAGACAGTGAAGGCCTCTTCCATTTCTGGTGAACTCATCCAGACAGGTCACCAGTACACAGAGGCAGGCAGACCTCTGTGAGCTACAGTTTAGTCTGGTCTACACAGTAAGTTCCAGAAGAGTCAGGTCTACACAGTGAGATTCTGTTTCAAAGGGGAAAAAAAGAGTATTTTGGAAGACTGAGGAGACAGCTCTGTGGATAAGGGAACCCAATGTGTATGCTTCTTTTGGGTCCCCACCATCCTTGTAAAAAGCTTGCTAGAGCCACACATGCCTGTACCCTAGCACTGGGGGCAGAGGGGAAAGGTGACTTGGTGTCAGGTAATCGTCATTCTGGTGAAGAGCATCCACTGCAGTAAAATTGCTACATAGGAATAGGATAATAATAAAATTAAGGCCAGAAAAAAATAAGATAAACTAAGAAGAACCAAGCAGAAATTCTGCAGATAAGAACTAGATAATTGTGTTAATTAAAATTTACTAGTCTCAAAAAAATACACAGCATAACAGAAGAAATCTATAAACAGCCGAATTGCCCTTCCGATATGAAGTGAGTATAAAAGCATTCTCAGATAAAGAATTTACAGCTAGCAAGCCTGCCTCATAATAAATACTAAGGAAGTCTTTTCAGAGTGGAAGGGAAAGTACACAGGAATAAAGTCTGCATAGAAATCAACACATTCAGGAGGGCTTACTGTGATATAAAGCATTAAAACAATGTGTCGGTGGGTTTCCATCACAGAGATGTAATACAGGCGGCCATCATGGCACAGAGATGGAGAAACTAGCAGCTGTGGTGAAGCAGTTTCTCTATTTTATCAAAGCTAGATTACTATTAATGTGAAATAAGTCTGGGTACATCATTAGAGCCTGGATGTATGAAACAGAGCACAAGTGTTATGGAGAGGGCTCCAGGTGTCTCTGCTCTCCACCCAACAGTAGTTTGGGTTCCTGTGCTCCCCAAAAGAGAGGAGTTCAGATGAGACATAGTGTAAGATCAAGATGAGCAAGCAAGGAAAAGAGAAGACACTATTAAAAAAGGGGGGGGGGCAGGTGGAGATGGCATACGCCTTTAATCCCAGCACTCAGGAGGCAGAGGTGGGAGGATCTCTGCAAATTTTAGGTCAGCCTGGTCTACAAGAGCTAGTTCCAGGACAGGCTCCAAAGCTACAGAGAAAAAGAGAAACCCTGTCTCAAAAAAAAAAAAAAAGAAAAAAAGTGGACCTAGCAGACTCATTTCTCTTGTTCCTGTTACCTTTTCCTGTACCTCCCTCCCTCAGAGTGGGCACATAAAGGACAGAGAGGTATGCTTCTCTTAAAAGCCCATTTTACCATAAATTAAGTCTAAATATCTGTATGTAATTATGTATATTATACATATATATAATGCAAAAATATGAATAGGGGTCTAAATATACCCGTAATTTAAAAGATTATTAGAGGAAAGGGTATTAGTATTCTGAATATACTCCCCTGGCCAGGAATTACCTGAAGGAAATTGAAGCTGTCCCAGCCAGCCAACCAATGCCACTTATTATTCTATGGGTCCTGTTTCACAGTCCACCACCGTCTTTGCATCCTGCTTAGACAGGAATCTAACATTGACCAGCAGTGGACTGATACCATTACCCTGACATCTTGACGCCCAACTCTTACTCTTTGGGTTCTATTTAGGGGCCGTGTGCGTCGTTCCCTCCAGGAACTAGCCTCCTGTCTAACACAGAACATGTAGTGTGTCTTAGAATAACAAGCACCCGCAGTGCACCATCTGTCCAGCACATGCACAGAGGCTCCACTCAGGGACCTGGGGAAAACCCTGCACCGTCACACTGCAGCAGCGCAACTGGCCCATCATCTCGATGACAGAAGCGCCATCGTGAGCCTTAAGGCTGTGATGTGAGCAGCACACCTCCACTGGACGCCAGGCTCTCATCTCCCAAAGTGGGAACAGAAATCAACAGAGACAGTACAAAGCAGGGTTCGCAACCTGTGGGTTGTGACGCCTTTGGGAGGGGGTCATAGATCACAGATGCTTACATTAAGATTCAGAACAGCAGAAAAATTACAGTTATGAAGTAGCATGAAATAATTTTATGGTTGGGGGCACCACAACCTGAGGAATGTATTAAAGGGTTGCAACATTAGGAGGGTTGAAAAATCACTGGTTTAGAGGAAGGATATCAGACATGAAGGCCAGAGGGAAAGAAACTATGTTAGTCTATATCCTTTTCATCAAATGGCTTCTGCCTGAACTGAGTGAATTGGATACAACTTCCCAGCAATATTTGAACATGAAGTCTAGACGAAATGGCTTCCTACTTCAAACAGTTCCATGTATGCCTTGTGCCCAAGGGCTGGCAACAAGTCTCAGTGTGGCATTCTTAGCCACACTGTGAGGCACGCCCCTTCTGGAGCAGATACCTTCAAAACGACCTGTCTCCTGGTTTTAGCAACAATACTGCACAAAAAGATGAGCATTGCCGGGGATGGAGAGATGGCTCAGCGGTTAAGAGCATTGCCTGCTCTTCCAAAGGTCCTAAGTTCAATTCCCAGCAACCACATGGTGGCTCACAACCATCTGTAATGAGGTCTGGTGCCCTGTCCTGGCCTGCAGGAACACACACAGACAGAACATTGTATACATAATAAATAAATATTAAAAAAAAAAGACCGGCATTTCTGTCTGTCATTTAGGTTTCTAAAGTGTGTGCTGTATGAACTTTACTGAGCATGCCCAGGACTGTATTAAACTCTTCCTTAAGCATGCTTAGGAGTGTAGTGAACTCCTACACTGAGCATACTCGGGATCCTAGAGCCTTCCCCCACAGAGCATGCTCAGGAACAGATCCACACATCTACCCACATGTACAGGCTCCCCGAGTAGAGACCCCATGCTTTATTTATTGGAGGGTAGAGTCTCCTAAATTTGATACCCATGCTCTCCTCATCTCCTTCAAGTAATAAACTTTTCTATTCTCTTTTGTATCAACCCTGATTATTTTGTCTTTGACTCACCGCTGCGAGAGTCCTTAGTGTTGCCATGTGCTCTAAACTGTCAGTGTAGCCTGCCCCACACAACAGGCAGCAGCCATGCTGTCCTCTACTGTCCTGCATCTGTCATGTCACCTGCAGGGGCTAAGCTGGCTGTGGCTCCAGCGGAGCAGTGAAAGTCATGCAGGAGAGATGGATGCCCTAAGTCCCCCATACTCATATTAAGTGTCCTGGGAAGGGGGACAGGAGAACAGCCCTTCCTAGGGTGATTAAATCTAGAGGACAGGCACAAGTGTGTGTTGACTTCTAAAGACTCAGCTGAAACAGTCTTAGCCTGTTCAGGAAGTTTGCTAGAGCATCTGCCAGGGAAGAGAGGACATGACCTTTCTGCCTTATAAAAATGTAAATGGGGCCAAAGGGTCCTGGTTCCCATGGGTGGCTCACCTGATGGTGGTCAAGATTCCAGAACATGATGGAAATATAGGTCAGGAGCTGGGATAATGGCGCCATGGTTAACCAGCTTGACCAAAGTATCATAGCTGGTGTTACGGGAAGCTGAAGGAGCAGGAAGCGTAGCTAAAACCCAGCAACTGGACGGACAGTGCAGGAACTTGTGCCCATGGAGCTCTGGCCTGGCTTCTTCCCGAAAGCCAGCCATGCCAGGCTGATCTCTGTTCCTCACGCTTCAACAACCACAGAGACGGGCCCTTTCTCTTCTGCCACTTGAAAGGAGAAAGACACAGGAAAGAGACTGCTAGTGAATTCAAATCACTGCACTTCCTCAGTACTGAGTAGCCCTGAGCAGTATCGACAGCATCCCCTAACCCTTGTTGGAAATGCATTGTGGACCAGGAAAAGCCATTACCCAGGCCAGGTCGAAGAGAGGTGGCAAAGCTCTCCTCAGGAATCTGCGTATGCGGAATTCTGAGGGCGAAGTCCAGAGACTGCAGCTTCCTCTACCTGATCACAGAATGTTCACCTTCATACTGAGAAGGCCAGGAAAGCAAACTCTGCATACATGCCATGCAACCTAAGTACTTAGGAGACTGCCAAACATATCGGCAGGCTCGACCGTGCTCCGTGTGTGTTCAATGTGTTACAGCAAGCGTGCTTTCTTACTGAGCAGAAAGCATATGACAGTATTGACAGGACAAGGCATACATGGGCACTGCCCCTTGCCACTGCCCAACAGACATGTCTGGAAGACACTCCCTTCCTTCCTGTCCCACATGAGTCCTCAGATATGAGGACCAGCAGGGCAAACACTGCTGACACCTCCACACCCAGCTGGTGGTCACACACACGGCTAGGAATGGAGCTTTGAGGGAAGGAGAGAAGCGCTCATCAGAGGGTGTGTACCAAGTCCCAAGACAGCAGGGGACACAAGGTGGTGGTCTGGGGTGGGTTGTCCAGCAGGGCCTAATTCTTAGGTATCTATATGTGACAATGACCGGGGGTGTCCAGCCGGATCTGATACCTAGTGGTGGATGTGAGGTGGCTGTAGGCACTGGAGGGTCTGATACTGAGCAGTGGGTGTGAGATGGACAATGTCCAATAGGGTCTGATATCTACTGTAAATGGGACAACTTGGGCAGCTGGCTGAATGAGTTTATATGGGGAAATGGCAGGAGAGTATCCAACAGACTTAAAAACTAGTCATGTATGCAGATGGCAATGATGGGGGAAGGGGAGAACACGTGTCCCACAGGGCCTGTCCCTGAACACTGTGTGTGGGAAGCAGGTCCAGTGGTTCATGATACCATGCATAATACAGTGGTCAGGAGGAATGGTGTCCTGTGTGGCCTGATTCCTCGAAGTATCCTAAGTCTGGGAGTCAAGTGTCAACAGAACTAAACCTTAGCAGTGCGCCTGGAGTGTGAGTCAAGGGTCCAGCAGGCCCAACTCCTAGCAATTGACATGAGGTGAGGCCTCCAGAAGGATGTGATACCCAACACTGCATGTGGGGTGAGGCACCGTGGGTCTACCAGCGTAGTCTGAAACATGGAAGAATATTTATGGGTGATGAGGACAGGGAGGGAATGTGTCCACAATGGCCTGATACCTAGTCCAATACATGAAGTATGGGTAGGACCCCAGCAGCATCTGTGTCCTAACAGCGCTGCAGAGTGGTGTCCAGTAGGAGCGGGTATCTACCAGCTTGTGTGGGGTAGGGACCGGCAGGGCCTGATTCCTGGAAGGATTCTGTGCCCAGGGATGCAGCATGAGTTGATGTCTTCCAGTGTATGTGGCCTGCCAGGGAAGGGGGATGTCCAGCAAGGCCTGTCCCCTCAGTCAAAGCTCCATAGACTCTGACTTCTAGCAGTCCAGTGGTATCAGGACCATGTATGTGGGTGGCTGGGGGCTAGGCATGACCAGTGGGCTCTAACAAGTAGAATAAGTGAGATGGCAGCCTAGGGACAAGGTACCGTCAGTTCCTTCTATGTAGCAGTGTGTACGATATGATGCTGCAGTGCCCAGAAAGGCTGGCTACTAACAAGTTTAGATGGGGAGTGGACAGACAGGGTCCTGTATAGCCTGACCTGAGAAACAGTTTGGGATTTTGTTTTTGTTTTGCAGAAATGGGGTAGCTTGTCCAGAGTCTGATGTCCAGCACAGTATATGGAGCAAGGGAGAGAGCACAAAGTGGCATCCACCAGGGTCTGATTCCCCACAAAACATGTGCAAAGATGCTGACAGTGTGGGGTTTCCAACACCAGTGTTCAGGGGGCAAAGCTGCAGGTGCAGCTACACAGCCTGATACCTGTGTATATGGGGATGTGAGGGGCGATACAGCAGTGCCCAATATCTAGAAGATATATTCTCTGCCATAATCCAAAATATATTACAACCTAAAATACACACCCCTAGGTTCACATTCACGGCTAGGTATAAGGCCCTGAAGCACACCCTCTGCCCTCCACACTCGATACACACACACACACACACACACACACACACACACACACTCACTCACACCAGGTCCTGTCTGATAATACCAACCACCACACCACCACCATCACTGCTCCAATTATACTATTAGTATACGACCCCCTGCTGGATAACCCCCTGGAGCCCTGCATACACTGTTAGGTATCAAGCCCTCCTGGACACTTCCTGACATCCCACACACGCCTACTATGTGTCAGGTCGTGCTGGACCGAGACTGCTCCCAACTGCTGCCACCCAACCTACGCTGTCTGCTCTTAAGACACTGCTGGACATCTCCCTGCTGTCCCTCAGGAAACAACCTGGCATCTGGCGCTTACTCCACCACATGCCTTACTAAGTACCAACCCCGCCTGCTGCTGAAGGCACCCATGCACTACTAGGTATAGAACCCTCCTGGATACAGCATCCCCAGTCACTAAAGCCTAAAACATACTGTGTGGCTTCAGGCCTTGCTGGACACCCTTCCACAGCCCCAGCCCTGCATGTGCTACCATGTATCGAACTCTTCTGAACCCTCCAGTCCAGATCCATATGTTGTGTCAGATCCTGCTCAATAAGCCCTACTTCCTCCACCCACACGGCTGCCCCAAGGCACTTCGAATTTCCAGTTGTACTGAACACCGACCGCCACTGCCTACTACTGTATATGGGCAGTCAAATGGTGAGGTGTCGGGAAAGGCTGATCCTAGCATGGTATGTATGGTTGTAGCCTGCACTGGCAAGCAACTTGGCTGATAACACAGCTTTTATGTGGCAGCGGATACCTAGCAGGGCCCGGAAAAGTAGCAGTGTATGCTGGGCAGAAGTGCACACAGGAAGGAGGTGTGTGTCTATCCTGGTCTGAACCTAGCATGCCATGTGGGATGGAAGCTGACACACGGCCCTGTATGTGCCGCTGCAGCAGCCGTGGCCGTAATGTCCATCATGGCCTGATGACTAGCTTTAGGCCTGATACACAGCACATTCTGAGGCTGGGGGAGGAAATAGCAGAACATGAAGCCTGCAATGTAGGCTGGGTATCAGCAGAGGAAGGGTAAACTGCCGGGCCAATCCCTGGCAATTCTGTGCAGTGCAGCAGGAGGAGAAGCTTCCAATACACTCTGATAACTAACAGTTTATGATGGGTGGGGCGTTAAATGGAGCCTGATACCTAGAAGTGGATTTGTGGTCGCAGAGGCATTGGGGTGTCCAGCAGGCCTGATACCACTGTATATCATTGGGAAGCAGTAGAGGAAGTAGAAAGTAGGTGTTACAGTATGTTAGGTGGTGGAGATGAAGGGGTGTCTATCAAGGCCTGATAAGTAATACTGTAGTAGGTTGGGGGTGTTTCCAGGAAAGCCTCATTAACAGTGTTGGGGGGACAGTTGAGTGTGTCCACCAGGATCTCAGACACAGCAGCAAGGTGAGGGTGTGTGCTGTAGGAACTCACCTAGCTTTGTGTGCTGAGCAGGAAGACTGAGTGAGGGGACGTCCAGCAAGTTTATACTGGTTGGTGTCATGGGGTATCCAGCAGGGCCTAACACAGAGCAGCGTACAGTGGGTGACAGGTCAAGGAGTGTCCAGCAAGGCCTGATAGTAGTAGATCTACACTGTAGTAGATCCGTGAGAGCGGCTGATATCCAAGCCGGTCCTGACATAGCAGTGAATGTGCGCTTCATTAGTGTGAGGCTGTCAAGCAGGGACCAGAAGGACAGTGTGTTGTTGGTACAGTGCAGGGAGTAGCCAACATGGCCTGATGCCTACCAGTTAATGTGGGATTTTTGCAGGGATCATTTAGAATCCAGTACCCAGAAATGCATGTGATGTATATATTGGGGGCTTGTCCAGCAGGGCCCAATACCTACCCGTTAATGTGGAGGTTAGTGGGAAGTCACGAATGGACTAATACTTAGTGGATTTGAGGCAATGGGAGGTTGTTCAGCAGGGCCTGGCACCTAGCAGCACGCGTAAGGTAGCATGGCAGTGGTGTCCGGCAGTGCATCTGCCTGGTGATACATGTCAGAACATGAGGTATCCAGCAGTAAGCTAGCAGGTTATATGGGTCATTGACAGGAGTGTCCAGCGGGGCTTGAGACCTGTCATTGTATCCCAGGCAGCAATGGGGTTTGAGGTTCTCTAGCAGGATCTGGTACCTAGCATTGTGTATAGGGATAGCAGAAGAGATGCTGTCTACCCAGGCCTTCTGTCTAGAAATCTACATAGTGAGTGTCCTACATGTCCTTAAACTAACATTGTATGTTGGCTGTTAACATGGGGGTGCAAGCACAGCACACACACATTTCTAGGTACCAGGCCCTGCTGCTCACACCATCTCACTGTACCTGCCAACACAGTGCAATGATCAGATCCAGCTGGATGGCCCATCTCTGTCACACACTGGATATCAGGCCTCACCACACCACACACCATACCACAACCTTTGAACTCCTGCCCACAGGTGACTTTGATGGCCAGGCCAAAGTCACACAGTCTGACACTTCCTTTGCCATCCAGCAGGACGTTGTCTGGTTTGATGTCCCTACGTGCAACACTGTTCTCCTGGCAGTAGTTAACGGCACGCACCATGTGTAAAGATGCGGTGAGCCTGCTCCTCCTGCAAACAGCCTACCTTCTCAATGTGATTCACCAGATATCCCCAGCAGTATGATCCATCACCATGTAGATGTGCTCTTTGGTTTCGACAATGTAGAACAGCTTGATGATGTTTGGGTGGTCCAGGACCTAATAGTGCTAATTTTAATCCTGTCGTCGGAGTCATTTTTCTCAGTCTGCACCTGTGTGTGGAGGTGGCCCACCTCTGTAAAGCTGCTATTGCCTTGGGTCCTGAGGAAGATACAATCACCCATACGAGTCATCTCTTTGGAAGAATTGGCCTCCAGGTCCAGCTACATCGTCACCCACCTCTTCTTTTGCCTGCAAGTTGCTTGAGAATCTGTCCTAACACCAACTGACAAAACCAGATTAAAGACAATGAGAAGCAGGGCTAGGAGGAAGGTTTACAGCTTGCAATTGCTACATGGAAAAGTGAGAGAGATGTGAGATGGTCTCACAACGCGGGCCAGGGCCACAGGAAAATAAGAACTAAACCCCAAAGCAGTAGCTGCTAAAACAAGCTGAAGATGAGAGCTGACCCTAATCAAAGAGGCGATGAAGAACAAAACAAAAGCTTGGTTGTTGAAAAGGAAGATCAAAACTGACCCCAAAACTAATCAAATGAGAAGACACAGAGACAAATGAAGGAGATTTTACAGCAAGGCTCTAAGAACCATTAGGGCTGATTTAGAAAGCTTATACTGCAATAAACTGTAAAACAGGGAGAAAAAGACCAATTTCTAAATGCGTATAAAATGCCTGAATTGAATAGGTCAATAACAAGCAATGAAGCTGAGAGATTTCAACTACCAACAAAAACGCCAAGGCCAAACATACCCGTGGATGGCTTCTACCAGACATTTACAGAGGAATTAACAGTAACGTCCTCAAAGAATTCCATAAAAACAGAAGGGGAGGAACACTTCCCAACATGTCCTACAAAGCCCGTGTTACTCTGGAACCAAAACTAGACACAGGGAAAGCAGGCAGCCTCTGTGGGGCACGGCTGCTCCCTGCCAGACCCGAGCCTCACTCCTGGGACTCACACGGCGGAAAGAGAGAACTGAGCCCACACTATGTCCTCTGACCATCACATGGATGCACACACCAAACAGAATTTTATAAAATCTTCCATGAAACTATTATGCAGCAATATTTTGATGTAATTGACGTGACAAACCTTAATGAGAGTGCTTGATACTTCACACTAGTTCAGCAACACATTTAAAGGCCATGTCCATATCAAGAGAAGTTCATTCAAGAACAGTAGCTCAGTTTGAAATATACAGATAAAGCATACAGAGTATACAATGCAAAATTGCACCCGCTCTTAAGAATGACATTTTTGTCATTTTCCAGAAAGTAGGTGGAGCTAAAGGTGATAGTTTTATATGTGACAAGCCAAGTCTCTAAAGACAAATGCAGCTTATTTTCTCTCCTATGCAGAATCTGGAGGCTTTGCGGGAGCCTGAACATAAAGGGGGACCACAGAAACATGAAAGAGGGCAGGGTCTGTTTCCCTCCGATGGACCAGAGTGCTGGGCAGGGAGCAAGGTGTCTCAGTCAACCTCACAGTCCAGAAATGGCTGCATAGAGTCCTGGGTGATTCAGAATACAGGCTCCAGCAGCCCTGATTTCTCTACTAACCAGGCAGTGGAAAAGGGGTCAATACCTGAAACCCAAACCAATGCGGTTCGGACACGCAGAGACAGCAAGGCGAAGGCCCCATGAAAGCAAGACTACTGACTGAAGACAGCAGGAGAGCACGCTGTACCTGGGTGTCGAGTAGACCGGGAGCACGTCTCTGGAAATCATGGCGTCACACACCGCCTTGGCAAGCCGTTTCAGAAGTCCCTAACAAACTGGTCACCAACTGTCTCAACTGCCTCGCACCAACTGTTAAGTACTGATCTGTGGGCCTGATTGGTCACATGTCCAGAACTCAGCCAATCAGACAGGCTAGCCAACCAGGCCCCTCCTGACCGGGCGTGCTGGAATCACGTGACCGTCTTTGCAGCGAAGGAGCTCGCCTCTAAGGCAGGTGCGGCATTCCTGCCCCCGCACGGTTAAGGAAGGACCAAGGGACTTTTGCATGCTCTGTGCTTTCTTTCCCAGGATTGTCAACTAGGGTGCACCTCCCCTACCTACTGCCTTCTGTCCCCTAGAGGGCTCATTGCTGAAAGTCAGATTTGAGGTTTACTCCCAGCTTCTGGTCCTCCCTGAATAAAAAGGACCATTTATTCAGTCAATAAATGTTTGCTGCTCACTAGGGATCACCTGCTGAGCCCAAGGGGTCAACAAGACTGACGGTCTAAAGCAAACATTTCAAGGAGCCTGCGTCTGTGTCTACAGTGTCACACTTCTTTCTCAGCTGTAACAACTTCCCCCAATTATTCACAATTTCTCCTGTAATCTAGGATAATACTTTGAATCACTTGTTGAACTAGTCCTCATATTTCCTGTGCACTTTCTGTGCTGCCTCAGTATGGCTACCAACCTTCGATTTGTTTTTTTTTTTCTAATTAAATAATTCTATATAATTTTGAGAACTTCATACACAGGACCTGCATCTCCATCGCTCATGCCCCTCCCCCTCTTGCACCTCAGCTTCTCCCACATCCCCCTTCCCAAACCATGATCTCCTTATTGTTACAAATGTATATGTATATAAGTACGGGGTCTTACCTTCAAGTTCTGGGAGGCAACAAAGGGCAGCAGAATTAGCCCATTCTGTTTGCAGGTCTCTTGGACTCTTCTAGCCAACACCACGAAGGAAGATTTCCCTGGCACCAGGATTTCTTTAATCTAGGGCTCTTGGGAGGATCATTATCCTGCCAAATGGCATAACTTCATTTAAATTATGTATGCACTTGCACGCGCAAATGTGTATGTGTTTTGTCAATAATCTGTTTCCTTTCAAAGGCCCCCATCTGAAGGGCAAGCTGTGCACCTGCCACAGATATTCACTTGAAGATCTTGCCTTGATTGAAGGCTTTGCCCACATTTTGGGAGTCCCCATTCTGGGAAAAGGACCAGGCTCCACCTTTTTGCTCTGTATATGATCATAGCCCGCATGCCAATCCAGACTCAGCAGAAAGGCAACCTCTCACCCTTGGAAGACTCACACCCCAGAAGTGGAGCTGCTGGAGGTGGTGGCCGAGAGGAAAACCCTGGTAAAGGCATTCTTCCCAGCTTCTCCAATTGCTGGGGCACTCCAGTGACAACGCTGCAACTCGTGAAGGTCCAGAAAACGCTTCAAAAGAGCAGTAGTCAGCTACCACGGGGACCAGCCGTCCTTATCAAAGTGTTACTGAAAGATGGCAGTGTCACAGAGAGGGTGACTTCATGGGAGTGCTTGCACTTAAACTCACCAACACAAAGTTCACTTGGGCAGGAGTGTGAAGGAGTCCTCAGGCTCAGCAGCCTGTGCCTGCCCACATTTGCCCATCTCCTCAGGAGCTGGGAACGTGGCCTTTCCCCCTTTTCACTCGGCCTGGAGCTTCGGCTTTTCTTCCTTTGAACCTCTCTCTTTCCATGGGCTGTCCATGTTAGGTTGGCTCTCTGCAGGCTTCTTAGCTTCAAGCTGGGCCATCTTCTCACAGCTTCACTGGCGCGGGGATATCTTGAACAGGGATTGGTGAAAGCAGGTGAGGAGCCAGCAGTTAGTACTGTGGAAGGCCTGGAGGGAAGAAGAAGACTCGAAGACTCAAAAAGAAGGCTCATAGAGCCACAATGAGATGCAGAGAATCATGAAGCCAGCCAGAGTCACCTGTTTGTGTACCAGAACAGTCCTGGGCTTCAAGTGAGTGACCAGCAGCCAAAGGATTGCCCTCAGTTCCTCCTCTGCCCCTTCAGTGGACTGGGTTATGTAGCGTGATGCTCAAGGTGGAGACACTGAGGTGTTGACTGGACGAATAATGTCACATCAGCAGCGCTCACCCACTGCACATCTGAGCTGCTGCCTCTGCTCAGGTAACAGGTGATGACATTGCTCTCAGGCATACAAAATTTACCACCACCCTTACATGCTAGAACTTCTCCCACAGGAAGTTTGTGGAGAAATTCAGAACTTTTGTTGGCTTGGCCAAAGTGGAAGGGGGTAGTGTGGAGAGCAATGGAACCCTGCTGTGCTGAGTAGCAATGAGGACCATGACAGCTGTGAGTTTCAGAATGTGTGCAGGGTGCACAGAGAGAGGGCCAGGGCCGACTTTGCTTCTGGAAAGTTATCTATGTCTCCTTAAGTAAACATAGAATAATGTTTCCCTGTGGCTTTTTCTATCATCTTTGTGGTGGTCTCCCCCAGTGTTTCCCTCCCTCCCTATCCCTAGAAAATATAACTTTTCCCTCCATGTTTTTTTTTTCTATTTCCCCTTTCAGGTACCTGTGTCCTACTATTCTCCTTCCCCCACTCCCAGTCCTTGTTACTTTTTTGTTTCCTGTGGTTACTCCACTTTGATTTCTATGGTTACTCTACGTTGTTTTCTGTGGTTACTCCACATTGTTTTCTGTGGTTACTCCACATTGTTTCCTGTGGTTACTCCACGCTGTTTTCTGTGGTTACTCCACATTGTTTTCTGTGGTTACTCCACGTTGATTTCTGTGGTTACTCCACGTTGATTTCTGTGGTTAATCCACGTTGATTTCTGTGGTTATTCCACGTTGTTTTCTGTGGTTAATCCACGTTGATTTCTGTGGTTACTCTACATTCTTTTCTGTGATGACTGCATGCTGATTTCTATGGTTACTGCATGTTGTTTTCTGTGGTTACTCTACTTGATTTCTGTGATTGCTCCACGCTGTTTTCTGTGGTTACTTCACGCTGTTTCCTGTGGTTACTCATATTCCCACATCTGGAATTCTGGAAGAAGGATTGAAAAATACAGAGAACATACAGCGATTGCCTTCCTGAACCTGAATCAACTGACTCGGGATCAGATGTGCCAGTTCCATTTACCTGAAACGTCACCGTTCCATTCTTCTTTACAGCTATACAGAACTCCTCTGTGGCCAGGTTTTCCTGATCCATTCATCAGCTGAAGGATATTTCATTTCCTTCCATAGGGTGACAATGAAAACGACACGGCAAATAATCTGGCCACAAGCCTCATGGTAAATACAAACTAATAGAAATGGGTTAATTTAATATATAAGAGTAAGCCAGAAACATGCTTAAGTGATTGGCCAAGCAGTGATTTAAATAATATAGTTTCTGAGTGGTTATTTTGAGTCTGGGTAGCCGGGAACAAATGAGTGGCCTCCAACAACAGATCCTATCTGCTGGCCTGTCCCATGCTCAGTCAGCGGTGCTCTGGAAGAAGCTCCAGCAGAGACAGGTCCTGCTACACACACCCCTAGGAGCACCCAACAGCCTATGGATTCATCAGACTCTGATGAACACCTCTGTATCACCACTACATACAAACCTCGAGGTTTCAGGCCTTCACCCCTCATACCCTGACTTCTAGAGGTGTGGTGAAATAGAAGCAGCGTCGTGGGATTCAGGAGGACCTCCTACCTAACAGAGTATGTGGGCTATAGTGTGATTGAGTGTGCAATGTATCAGCACCAGCTAAAACCCCACTGCAACCCACATAAAATGCTGACTGTCGGGAACTGTTACACTCCTTGCTACCATGTAAACTAGTAGATATCAGGCCCTCTTTCCTTCTACCCCATTCTACAGTCACTGCTAGATCTCAGGTTATTAGATAACCGCCTCTTCTTCTGCTGAAACCCCACATGCTGTTACGTATCAGGCCCTGTGACACCCCTGAGGGTGAGGAAGCAAGAAACAAAACGTGGAGGAAGGTCTTTCTCAGACTGTTTCAGCAGGAGGACTTGGAAGGAGGGAGCAGGGAAACCAGGAGGCAGGAGGGTCTGCTGGACTTGAGGCTGGGGAGGGACTGTGGCTCCCTCCCTCCTGCCAGGAGCCCTTTGTGATGAGGAGGCCACAGCTGTGTGATGAGATGGCCTCACAAGCCTCCTGCTGGACTCCCAGGACTCAGTGGCTTGAGGACAGAAGGGCAAATTAGAAGATGGAGAATTCTCTCTTTCAGCTGAGCAGCATTAGTGACTACTGGATGAGCCTCAGCTCCATTGTCATGGCCAAGGACATGATCTTTGGTGTTATGTGTGGAGCAGGGCTCTTCTTGCTCCTGATCCCCTTCCTGAAGAAGTACCTAGCATCACCACCACCTGGGAGCAGAAAGAACCCCCCAAAGGTGAGAAAAGCCATGGTTGAAACACAATGGAGTGTGTTCAGTCTGTTGCTCACTACTGTTACTTCCCCTTTTCCTAGTCAAGCAGAGAGACAGCTGAGAGGAACTCTCCAGAAACAGCAGCACCTCATCTGTAGGGGCTGGAAAGTAGGGCACGGGGGAGAGTGGCCTTGAGGTGTGCGCCTGAAGCTCTCAGACCCTCTGTGTGGTGTGGCTGAGAGGCCACGAAGGAAGACTGGCCCCGTGGGCAGACTGCATTTCTGAGATGGAGGGGACCTTAGGGACAGCACAGGCTCTGAGAAAGAAGTCCTCTGTCCTCTGTTCAAGCCCATGTTTTGTGTGGCTAATGTGAAGGGGATGATGAGACCAAGGGCCTCAGACCAGGGTTTAAGTCACCTCAGGTCTGGGGAAGCAGACCTTACCCAACAGCCTAGAGGCAGCAGCAGCTAACCCCTGGGTAGGATCCTATCTGAGGAACACTGACTGAGGACATCCATGTAAGGGTGGCATAGACAGCCCCTTCTTGTGTTTTCCAACAATGCCAAGGGGAAATGTGTTTGTGCATAGAACAACTGAGTCAAGGTTGGATGAGAGAAAGCTCTCCGGGAAATGTGGATTTTGTGTTCTCCACCAGCACAGGGGGCAGGCAGCTTGTCCACACGAGAGAGAGGAAGAATGGGCCCGGCTCATTTCTGTCCTTTCTCACTGTCAGGTGGTGAGGAGGGGGCAGAGCAGGGCAAGGAAGAAAAATGTTTCTGCAAAAGGTAGGCTTCTGTTTCCCTCTGGAGAGGCAATTCCTTCTGCCCTGTCCTCAGTGATGAGACCATGAGAGCCACGCTTCTGAGATACAGGATGCAGAGCACTGAGAAGAGGAGGTTGCTGGGAAGGAAATCAGAATCAGGAAAACTCCCCAGGTCCTGTGAAAGAAGAAAGCTTGGCCTGGAGTGGGTGCTGCCCATGGACCAGGGGTGAGGGGTGTGGTTCAAGGCAGCTGTGATGCTGTGTCCATGTAGGGGGGCTCTCAGGTCCTCCTGAGAGCAGGTAGCTGCGATTCCCTCAGGCCCACTCCTCTTTCAGATGACCGATCCCGTGTCCTCACAGTGTCATATGGGGAATGGCAGGGGCTGAGGAGGAGCAAGGAAAGTGTAAATGAAGAGATGTGGTCCCTCCGTGCCACTTGCTCATTCTCAGTGTTCTCTGTGCTTGGACTCTGGAGGTGGGGCAGTAGAGTCCTAGCATGGGAGGTCTCTAAGAGGGGTGCCGCACTCTCCTGTGAGATCTCGGTCCTCTCCTTCATCCTGTATAACCACTTCCAGGTGGCAGAGATGGCAGAAAGAATGTGAAAGAGACCCAGAATGCATCACGACCTGTGGAAATGTAAGAAATCTACCTCTTGTGAATTAATTTATACCAACCAGGATGCGAGTTCAGGGTCTGGGGTTTTTCATACAGGAGATACTATGCAGGGTGGGATTGGAATACAGCCCTGTTGGATGTGACCATAAGGGATATGGAATGACCATAAGGGATATGGAATGTGGAGGCAGTAGAGTGACTATGGGCTACAGTGCCGTATTTATACAGACTGATTGGCATCTGTACCCTCTGCTTGGAACTGATGCTTTTGCATCCTGTCTTCTGCAGCCCCATCAAGGATCCTTTATTGGACTCCATGCCATGCCCACCTTGGACCACTGATAAAAAACTGGATCAGCTTCTCCTCTCTCAGCTGTTGTCTTACCTCAAGATCTTGGAGAATCTTATACAGCAGAGATTTAGTCGGGTTTTCTGGGGCATGTCCTTCATGCTCTCTGAGTCAGTGGTGGCTTCTGCCTGGGTCGCCAGGAGCTCTTCCTCTACGGCAACTAGAACGTCATCATTATGTAATACATATGGCCCTTTCCCAGCTCTACCCATGGCTCAAGGACTTCCACAGATTTCCCAGACCCAGCCAGTGCCCCATCAACTTGTAACATCCAGTTTGGTAGGTGTGACACAGGTCCAGACACTGGGCAACCTCCCAAGCTCTACACCAACCCAAACACCCTCTTCATCCAAGAGCAGTCCGTATGGAACAACATGCCATAACACTGGGGTGAAGGCATCGGTGTCCCTCCTGACTGAAAACCAGCCCTGGCAGCAGGGTCTGGAGTGGGAAGACACCATAGACGCCAATGTACAAAATCAGCAAGCAGGCATTACCTGGCCCACTCACAACTCCCCAGGGGGTACCCTGCCTGTCGAAGCTGTCAGGTCAGCCTCCATCCTTCCTGAGCATTGTCAGTTCCTCCAGCACCATGAGGAGACACAGAGTGAAGACAAGGTGACTGAGGTGAGGGAAAACCAAGGCTCCTACTTCAGGATCCTCTCATCCCTGGAACTGACACAGCTGTGGGAACATTTCCCAGCCAACAGTCCTTGCCAGCCCAAGAACAAGCCTGGACTCCCAAAGCCTGCCCAGCCCTCCATCCTCGACTCCAAAAGCTGCAAGCTGAGCCAGATGATGGGGTCTGTGCCCTCGGCGATGCCCTTAAAGAAGCCAGCAATATGTAACATACATGATCCCATCAAGAAGGGCCCCGGTTTAAGGGCCAATGACTTGCCTTGCACATCAAGCAGCAGCCCTGGGAAAGGCCTGGAACCCAGAAAGCCTGCACTGAGGACAGATCAGCAGTCCTATGTGAACACCGCCCAGGACCTTTCCTTCCTCGACCCAAAAACTCAAATGAAGCTGGAATCAAACATCATGCAGCTTCCTATGAAACGTAGGAGACCATATCTACAGATTCTTGAGCCAGGGGATCTCACCACGCCAGGGATTCCAGCCTCATCCCTTCTTCAGCCTGTGTATCCCTCCTCACCCACCTCTGTTTCTAAGTCAGAGTACTGTCCCAAGGCTGCCGTGATCCTGGAGAAATTGCATCACCAAGACCCAGGAGGGACAAGGGTAGAAATTCTATCAGCTGCCAGCCTACAGAGTCCTCTATTTGCATACTCACCTTCAGAGGTTCCGGTGATGCAAAGAGCCACTCCATCTGCTGCCAGCCATGGACTCTCCAAGGCCCATCCAGCTACAAAGTACAACAACCTAAGTACTCGAGCCCATGCTTACTGCCTGCTGGCAAAGACCCAGCAGAGCAGGACTGTCCGAGGGACTGGAAGAGGCAGCCTACAACCAAGGACCAGCCTAAGAATTGACAGGCATGAACCACGGAAGATGTTTAAGAATGTGACCTCAAGACATTCCTGTGTGGGTGGGAAGATGGTTGATCCTGAAGTAAGAGCCCCACCTTTAGTGGCCAAACAGACCAGCAGAATAGCCGAGGTGAAAAAAGAATCACATCCTCCATGGAAAGTGACCCTTGGGTCCAGGATGATTCCCAATGGCCAAAACATCACTACCAATCCCAGAGAATTTAAATTTGTAGCAGCCAATAGAAACCCAGGCTATTTCCAATCAAGTCCACAGCACTCAAGAGGTCCAGCTCTACAATCACAGATGCTTAATGAGATTGACTTCAAATCAAACAAACAGCCACAGCCATGGCCTATGGGGCTTCTTCTAGACTGTCAAAGTGCTGTGTGCCCCTTCACAGTCAGCTCATCTTCAGGGCACTCACCGCCCAGCTTCCAGAATAGATCCAAAAATCCCAAGACTTCTCAGGGCCTAGGTGATCTGTTCCTGAGGAAAGACCACAGCCTGGAGACGCAGAAACTCAGGGTCTCCAAGGATAAGATTCCAGCAAGTAGTCACAAAATATTTCATTCCAGTGAAGAGAGGAAGGATGTTATAAGATCTAGAGCAGAAAGCCAGGGAGAAAAGTTGGGGAGAATGGGGCTCTCCCAAGCCTTGGGCCTCACTCAACTCGAGGATACAGACATCACTGAGCATCAGCCTTCCTTCGATGTGCCAGGAAAGGAGCAGGCTCCTGCAGGAAGCTTTCTGAAGAAAATAGTAAGGAATATTCTGCAATATTTCAATCTCAGCACCAAAGACAAGGAGCAGGGGGGTTCTCTGAAGAATGAAAGCCCCCCACCATCTCCTACACAGACTCAGGAGGTAGCCATAAGTGAGAAGCTTATCTACAATATGGCAGCTGAAGCACAATCTCTCATGGATGTTGTGGCCCAGATCCTGGTGGACAGACTGGGCCTTGATCTAGAGGACCCATCAAAGGTACAGAGGTATAGAGTGGAACCCATGACATCTCAACTGGGTGTCTCTTCCCACTCTTCTGAGGATCTCCATGCCACAAGGAAAAGCCGACCAGTGAGAAGAATGAGTCGTGGTCCCCACACCAGTCCCAAAGGCCACAGCCATTCATTCACACACAGGGGAATCGGAAACAAGCAGCAGTGGAGTGATGCCCAGGAAGCCTGTGATCACCATCAGAACACAGTGAAGAGGGAAATGGGCTTCGACCCACTCCCCACCCTCAAGGGGAAGACCCAACCATTCCCGTACAGAACTGGAGACAAGCAACAGCCAGGCATGGCCATCAAAACAGCCCATAACCCATATCACCCCAAATAGACCTTACCAGCATAGGCCAAGGAGCAGGTGCCTCGGGCCACTTTGGCCTTTGCCCACCAGTAAGTCTCCCAGCAGCCATCGGCTCCCCCAGTGCTCTCTGGTAATAAACACTGGCTTTTTTCCCACAAAGCGAATCTTCTTCCTACTGAAGCTTGTCTTCTGTTGCTAATGGCTCCTTCCCAGATGGGAGCTGCTTCCTAGTTCATGCTCATGCCTTTCAGTACAGTGGTTTCTGTCTTGTGGTGATGGGGTGGGGAAGGTCAGCATCCTTCTGCCCCACTACAGTCTCCAGCAGGGATGGGGCATGGAGGGGTGGGGTAGTCTGTCTCCCTTTCTGACTAGAGCAGGAGCCAGACTAGAACTTACAATGTGTGACCATAGGTGTCTACTGAGGGCTGTGTCACACAGGCCTATCCAGTTATTTGTTGTCTTCTTAACATTTTGTTTTATGCATATGGGTATTTTACCTGCATTTATGTCTGTGTACTGTGTACATATCTGGTACCTATAGAGGTCAGAAGAGGGCATTTGGTCCCTCGAAAATTGTTACAGATAACTATGAGCTGCCATGTGGATGCTGAGAATTGAACCTCGTCCTTCTGGAAGAGCAGGCAGTGTTCTTAACCATCGAGCCATCTTTCATTGTTTTTTAAGAAAGGTTTCTGGGGCTGGAGAGATGGTTCTGCCCCTATGGGTCCTGTGCACATGCCCACACTTATGCAGTTAAAAATAACCAAAAGAAGTTTTTCTCCCCCGCAAAAGCCATGGTTGTCATCAGCCCGGAGGTTCACCGAATAGGCTAGACTGAATGACTGAAAATTAGACACAAGTCCGCCCAAGGAATGAATCACGCATCACTTACACCTGTTTTGTCTTTTGAAGCACGGTCTCACCGTGTAGCCCTGGCTGGCCACAAACTCACACCCATCCTCCTTCTGCGTCCTTAGTGCTGGGATTAAAGACTTGTGTGCTACTTAATACACCTGGCCATGCTTAGCTTTTAGTGGTGGTTTGGGGATCAAACTCATGTCCTTGTGTTTGCTCAGCAAGTGCTTTACCAGCTGAGCCATCTTCCCAGCCTACTTAGTTAGCCACCACCACCTTGGTTTATATTTTCCTGCTTCACTATGTGTCTTGCAATCTTTTGTTATTTTGTTTTCCGGCAGGCCTCTTGATATCTGTGAGTTCAAGGCCTACGGAGTGAGTTCCAGGACAGCCAGGGCTATACAGAGAAATTCTGTCAGGACATTTCGAGTTTCGTTAAACTATGAGAGAATAAATTACTTTCAATACAGTATCTAAGAGAGCGTTTACTGTTTTGATTTAATCAAACTTAAAATATCTCATCAAATCACCCAGGAAAATCCAGGTAGCAGAAATATATAACATGTCCATTTCTTCACAAGGTCTCAAATCAGTTTCACAAGGCCATAAAATTATATATATATATATTATGCCATCTAAACCACTCCTGCCTTCTGTACTAAAGAACTCAAGTATAGAAATAAGCTTGTGGTGCTGAGGTAACATTAGGACCCTCCCCCAACATGACTGCATAGGTGTTTAAGGTTATATGTGAACATTATGTAAGGTCTCAGGTCAGTCAATCCCATCTGAACTGTTGGTTCAAAGCAGCATATCAGACATGTGGCCACAGGAAACACCTTCGCTGAGCCCATGTGTGTGTAAGTGTCAGGAGATGGGCAGAAGTCAGGGCAGGGCCGACTGAGGCTACACGGATTAGCCATCTGCAGTTGTTGGCAGGACAGACACATACACGGTCTTCATGTTCAGAGTCTTCATTGGGATATCTTCTGTAATTTCTAGAAGAGAAATTTTTCGAAAAGTCAATACTCTGTTGCGTGAACACCTAAAAACATTGCCAACAGTCTATCCCCGGTCCCATCCTAAGCCTCTGTCCTGGCATTTCCCGACAGGGGTATCTTTGTTGCAGACAGGGAGCTCTTATTATGTATTAGCTTTCAGCAAGATGACTCAGGGCAGGTGGCCACATGAGGAGAACTTAGCTGTCAGGTGTGTGAGCTGGTTGGCTAACTGAAATAACATGGGACTGGGGATTTAACTCGTCTCACACATGCTAAGAGAGTGTTCTGCCACCCCGCTACTCCTCACTTAAACTATTATTATCTTTAATTATATTATGGCTAATCTCTGGTTGATTTTCCAAACTAAACAAAACAAGACAAATATACAAAACATTTTCACAGACGAAACACGAGAAGTTACTGGCACCAAAGTCTCCTTTCGAAGGAGAAAAAGCCTTACAGTCACAGCTGCCTCACCCTGCGTTTGAGTCTCATTCAGAAACAGCTTCAGCCTCCTGCTCCTCAGTCCAAACACTTTGGCTGCCTCATACACAAGCCCTTGGTGGCTGAGTCCATTCTGTCCAAGCGGGTTTTCAAGCAGGAGAGTGCCCACAGTTCCTGTCAAACACTCTGGAGAAGGAAGAAAGCCGGTCAGTTCTGGAAAACTAGTGTTCCAACAGTGGCGGCCACTGAAGACAGCACCAACCGGCAATGCAGAGGGCTCCCAAGTGGGTACAGGGGCTTAAGCTGGAGGCATAGGCTACGAAGCAATCTATAAAGTTCAGAGAGGCGAGCCACCGGGGAACTGATTTTCAGTGCACAGTCAGGTGAAGAGACGAGGATTCCAGCAAAAAAAAAAAAAAAAAAAAAAAAAAAAAAAANAAAAAAAAAAAAAAAAAAAAAAAAAAAAAAAAAAAAAAAGAGCACACTGAAATGTTAGGGGAAAAGCAGCAGAGGTGTCCATTCCTCAGGACAGATTTCTAGAAAACAAACATAAGATCACACTGTGAACTAGTCATTGGTGGCACACGCCTTTAATCCCAGCACTCGGGAGGTAGAGGCAGGCGGATCTCTGTTAGTTTGAGGCCAGCCTGGTCTACAAGATTTAGTTCCAGGACAGGCACCAAAGCTACGCAAAGAGACCCTGTCTAAAAAACCGGGGGAAAAAAAAAACCCAAAAACAAACAAACAAAAAATCACATTGCAAAATCAATAGTTCAGGCATGGAGACAACTGAGTTCCATGTAGATACAATTTTACCTAAGATGATAGTTTTGATTCCTGACTGTCAGAAGAATGACGGTCTTTCTACATGAATGTACTGCAAAATCAAATCAACAAAACCCAAACAACTGTATTCCCTGGAGAAGCATGGGAATTAATACTCTGTTTACTGATACAGAGAGGTAGGGTCTCACTACATAGTCTTTCTCCCTCAGCAAAACATGCTTGGCTGCTGTCTGCGTGCTCAAGTTGACTGGAAGATTACGCCTAAGTCAGAGATCTGAACCTGGAAAGGAGCCTTAGTGTCCCGCACTCAGCTTGTTGATGCACACACATACCTTGTGGCTCCGCATTTAGGAGCTGCAGGTTGATATACTGACACAGAAGCGTGCTGGGGCTGTTGGTGGCAGAGGGGGCTGCTCCTGCAGTCACACACAGTGTCCTTCCACTCAGACTCAGCAGGTCAGTCTGGTTCGGTATTTCTAAAAATAACAACCGTTCTGGAGTCACTCACCTTCTCCTAAGCCACTAGCATTCACTTCTAACTCCACTATCACCCATCCGCATGCAGAGATGGCTTTCCATCATTTGTTCACCAAAGGAAAGCACTTCTCCTGCAAAGCCAGGCGTTAAAAATAACCAAACAGCAGGAAATGGTTTTTTGTTTTGTTTTGAGTGGTTGGGATGGAACCCAGGGCCTTCTGCATGCTTGGCACTCACTCTACCACTAAGCCCTATACCTCCAGCACTGCAAATACAACCTTACAAATGGGTTGTCTGAGTGCTGCAAAACTAAAGAGTAAAATATTTGCCATTTAGCTTTTGTGCATGTGCGGGGGTGGGGGTGGGATGTTGTTGGGTACCAAGCTCATGACCTTGTGCTTGCTAGGTAAATGTTGTACCACTGAACTAAAAATTCACAAACCCCCTAACTTAAAATTCAACATAAATTGTTTTCTTCCCATTAATATTTTCCTTATATTACAGCTACTCTTAAATTTTTCATTCTATGAGAATCTCAAAATTTACCAAGAAAAACTATATTTGAAAATGATAGTTATAGTTAGCAAACAAGTTCTAATTTGTTTCAGAAATTGCTGTGTATGTGTGGTGTATGTGCTTGTGTAAAGATGTGAGTTGGTGTGTGTGCATGTGTGCAGGCTGACATTAGGTGTCTCTCTTGATTGCTTTCCACTTCATTTATTGTTAAAATCCCAAGCACCTTCCTTTACCCACTGAGCCATCTCACTGGTCTCCCCTTTATTCTCTGAGACAGGGAGCTCATTGGTTGCATTAAGCTGAGAACCCGGGATCCTACTGGCTCACATGTGGGATCTCAGGCACGCTGCTGAAACATCTTTTTAGATGGGTGCTGGGGACTGGAACCCAGTTCATCACACAGCTTTACTCCATGAGCCACCTCCCTGACCTGAGTTGTAATTAACAGTGGACTCCAGGTCTGGATTTAGTAAGGCCCAGGAACCGTCTGATAAGCTTACAAGTCAGCAGGGAGGGTGAGTCCTGATCTGTCTCCTGGCTAACAGGGACAAGGGAGGATGAGGGCTTTGGCTTCCTGTATGTCCAAAGTTTCAACCATACCATAGAGTGGGGCACAGTAGAGACGTGGCAGCAGACACCGCTGAAGAACCTCTACTGCCTCAGAGTGAGGAAAACACAATGGCTCAGCCACATAACTGACACCAAAGGAAGACCTTGGCCAGGCCCCTCGAGCCAGCGACAGTAGCCTCTTGCTCTCCACATACCTGTTTCTCCGTGGAAGACTGACAGCTCCGCATTCTTAACACCAAATATGCTGGTAACAACACTCTTCAGCTTTACAAGGTTCAATTTATTATCACCTTTTGGATTCTCCAAAAGCAGTACTCCACCTAGAAAGTCACAAAAACAAGGTCTCATTTAGTGCAGTAAAACTTAAAGAAAATGTTAAAT